AATGATTATCCTGACGTCCTATATAGTAGCGCAATTTCTGTTATCAATTCCAAGGTCATCCACGAGAATACAACTGTTGTATGTATCTGCGCACACAATATCACATGGYCATTATTATTTATTATTATTATCATTATTTTTTACACGCCAACTCATTTTCATAATATATACAATAATACATATTACTATATTAGTCATATACGATATACATACTACATGCGGAAAACACGCAACTTCGAGCAGCAATTCATTATATTACCTAATAACTAAGAAGTAATAATAATACTATCGCCACCGGGCACCGAGGCGCCGACGATAAGATTAGAATAAGAGTAAACAATAAACGTCTACGAGTGGTTAAATATCCTAGTAAAAAGTTGTTACGTTGTCGTTATCCATTYTCGTGTTTATTTCAAGCATATACATAATCACAAGTTTTTTATCGGAAAATTTATCGTCACTGTACCACAMGACCGGCATTCCATTCAGTATGCCCATTGATTATRTTGGATTTGCGTACGCCGCAACGGTGGCAGCCGGAGGCATCATCGGTTACGCAAAAGCAGGTATGATGCTTTYATTTATAATAAATAGTACCTATAAATCATAATATCCCTAAAACACCTAAACATATGATATTATTCTGTGATATACAYGGTTCAACTACCTTGACCGTGATTCACAACAATAAAGATTTWAAAAAATATTACCAACTTTTTAGCATTGCAACATGTGCGTTACCTTTTTCCAAGACATTTAAAAGGGTCTTGTTTTTTCTTGTTTTAGTTTAAAATTGAGACTCGTGTGAGACCATTTGTACTTTGAAATTGATTTGATATTTTTGTTTTTAGCTAGTATTCCAAGTCTGTCAGCAGGTTTGTTGTTTGGATCACTACTTGGTTATGGTGCATATCAAACGACCAAAAATCCCAATAACTTAGCCCTTTCATTGGGTACAAGTGCAGTTCTAGGAGGAATAATGGGTGTTCGTTATCTTAATAGCGGAAAGATCATGCCGGCTGGTATACTGGCAGCTTTAAGGTACATTTTTGAATTAATAACATTAAACTACATTGTATTTGGTTCATTAATAAAGTGATGATTTGTTTATTTAAATCGATGAGTAAACSCTTTTAGAAAATATAATGAAATATAACACATAATATTTACATGAAATACATCAATTTCTGTTGGTAATGTATTCACTTATAATTAGAAATCCAGTGAATCCTTGAAATCTGTTAGAATTTTAAAGAAAAATGGGTAAGATTTTGAAGTGTTATGGCGTAGAAGAATAAAATAAAAATTCAAATTGTTGTAAA